TTGCCAGTTCAGTGGGTCCAGGTGGTTGAGTATCAGAGTGTTCCATCTCATTTCCCTTTGGGGTTGCTGTAGGTGATCTGGAAATCTGGTTTTAAGACTTATTTACATGATTTTTCATTTCGACTTGGGTGGAGAGCTGTTAGCACCTGCACAGATTACCTCCTCTGAGCTGGGAGAGATGGGACAGGGGTCGGAGCAGTGGTAGAGATGGTGACCCAAAAGCCCTTTTCTGTGGGCTGGGAGCATCGGGAGGGATGGTGACCGGGATCCCCTTCCTCTGGACCAGGAGCAGTGGGATGGCGGCTCAGAAGCCCCTACCTCTGGGCCGGGAGCAGTGGGACTCAGTACCTTGGTCTGGTGTCCTCTGCATCTTTGTAGTGTGGAACCAAGTGGCTGCCTGTCTGCAGCGGGGTGATTCGGCATCATCCCCATGACTCGGGACCTCAGTAGGGCGTGGGCAGACCTGCCTGTCTGCAGCAGGCTGATTCAGCATCATCTGTGCGACTCAGGACCTCAGCAGGGCATGCACCCATATGTAGATATTTTGGTAGGCTATCTTTGTAGATCTTGCAGCCCATAGAAAAGTAGAATATTTGCCAAAATTTTTTAAATTATATATATAATTGTCTTGTTAGAACAACCTAAGTTTTGTATTATTACAGTACTTCCCTGGAAAACTGGCCATCAACATTCATTCATTCATTAATTCTCACACCTTAGCCCTAAGTTGGGCTAAGGATCTCAGTCTCAGCCAAGGCAGCACGTGGGCTGGGGAAAGTGAGAGAACAATGACAATACTTTGTCAAGTATGATATGCACCTGGACCAGTTTTCCGAGGGTGTGCTGCCCTCCAGAATAACTAGCTATCCAGGTGTGCACCAAGCCTCTACTCCCAGGCTGATGGCCACTCTGCCCCACAGACATACCCATTCTTCTTACCTATAAGGAATATAAGAGCAATCATGGCAATGTATATATACTTAATAACAAAAAAGAAAGAACACAAAATAAACAACAAAAAACAAGAACACAATAACATCCAACAAGAATAAGCTACATTCAACAAAGACAAATCCCACAATTAAAATAGGGAGCAAAGTCAGTCTCAGAGAATTCTGACAGCATGGTATAATGTAGAAGGATGACTTCTTAAGTGGAAAAGTATAAATAGAGCAGGAAGTAACTGCCACATGTGTAGAATAGACACCAAGTCCATGAGGGAAGATCTGTGGTTGAAGGAGGGTAGCTAGGCCTTCTGAGGTGTGGGCAAGGGTCTCTCTCCAGGCCTGTGTAGACAATATAATAATTCACTTAGCTGACTTAGTGTTGTATTTCACAATAAAGAGTTCCATGAAAATACACAAAGCATGATTTTTGTGTCCTGAGGCACAGGCTCTGTGTAACTCCAAGGAAGCAGACAGCCAGAGGTAGCAGACCTAGTAGGCTCACAGTGTCCACTGCTCACAGTGGACAACTCTCCTGCAATGTCACATGGTACATTAAGGTGTGGCCAGTCTCCAGAATGATACATGTGTCCTGCAGAAGGGTTTTCTGGATTTGTATGGCGTGTCTCTGTAGGGACATCTGAGATCCTGGTAGCATGGCTGCCTCTGAAAGGGAAGTAAAAAGCAACAAAGGTAAGGGGTGAGAGGGAACTACTTTTCAATACACTTTCTCTATCTTTTAAATTTTGTACCATGTATATGCTCAAAAGAATAAGGAAATTAAGTGAAACCGAGTTTCCCAAACATGACTGGCCCTTCATGATCTTGCTTCTACTTCATCCCCAACTGCTCCGCAGCACCTTACTTCTGTTCCCAGCCCAGGACACTCCTTCAGCTCCATCGCCTAAGCTCTATCTTCTGAACACACCCATGCATCACCTCAGTCTTTGTAAGGATGCCCCTAAGAACATACTCATAGGAATACCCAGCAGATCCAGCATACTGTTGAACAGCTCCCAGAGCCAGCAACTAAGCAGCTCTGGGATTGTTCCTAGAAGGAGAACACCCCTATCTTGCCTTTGTAGAGAGCCCAAGCTACACAACATCAGCTTACTCACCACTGCTTCTCCTTATATAACTTGCTAAAAGATCGCAAGGGCACCCCAGAGAGGTTAAACAGCCTGCCTAAAGCCCCCAGCTTGAAAGTGATGGAGCAGGGACTCAGATCAAAATCCCAGTCTCTTTTTATCACCATGTGTCCCAGTCACTTTCCTTGTCACTGGGAAATAATACCTGATACCCAACCCACATCTTAAAGGAGGAGAGGTTTGTTTTGGCTCGCATTTTCAGAAGTTTCAGTCCATGGTTGACAGGTTCAAACACAGAAACAGCATGGTGGACAGGCATGTCAAGGAGAAAAGCTGCTCCTATCATGGCAACCAGGAAGCAGAGAGTGAAGGAGGAGCTGGAGAGGGAGATACAGTACACTCCTCCAGCTCACACCCCTGAGACCCATCTCCAACCGAGACCCACCTCCTAATAACACATTTAGCTCTGAACTCATCTGGGGATTAATCTACTGATGATTACAGTGCCCCCATGATCAATCACCTTCAAAATGCTCTACCTCTGAAAATATGAAGACATTGGGGGACATTCTAGATCAACAGTGGCTAATTTGTTGAACTTTCAAAAGTGTTTGATAAATGAAAGCTCATGTTATTGTGTTTTTCTTTTAAGACAAAAGATGTTAATGTATGAGTTGTTTTTTCTAAACTAAAGCCTCAGTATTCAGGTTTAACTGCAGTGTTGGCACTTTGTGATTAATAAGTGGGTTTGAGGTTGTGTTTTGGGCACTTGGTCTCCAAACACTTCATCATCACCACTCTAGATCTAAACCCTAATGCCAAACTATGTTAGAACACCCTTCTTATCCCCAGGGAAGAAGGAATTGAACATCTTCCAGGTCCTTTGCTTGGGTTCCATGGATCCCCCTTGCCCTGTATTCATCTTTAAATCCTCTTTCAGAACATCTCTGCATATATTTTGTCATTTGGACTGACAGATTTAGAACTTTTTGTCTCAATTACACCAAACTTTATTTTTTGGTACCAGGGATCTAACTCAGGACCTTGGGCTTGTGAGTGAGGCGTGGTGCCACTGAGCTAAATCCCTGGCCCTATTATGACAAACTTTTAAAGATTCTTCCTAGAGATTTTCTGCTAAAAATTCCAAAGACTGGAGGGGATGGTGAAAAATTCACTAATGAAGCTATTAATATGCTACTTGGGTATTCTTATTATTGAATGATGAAAATCCTTTATATTATATGGATGAAAGTCCTACATCAGACATAGGATTTGTGGATTTGTAAACATTTTCTCCCAATCTGTGTCTTGTCTTTTCATTTTCTTAACAATACCATTCAAAGAGCAGAAATTCTTATTTATATGAAGTTTTTTTATTAATCTCTTTTCTGTATCATGCTTTTAGTATACAATCTAAAAAATCTTTGTCTAAACTGAGATAACAAAGATTCTCTTAATTTTCTCCTATATTTTTTATAAGATCTACAATTTTGCATTTTACACTTAGGTCTATGATAAATTTAGGTTAATTTTTACATAATTCTTATGTGCAACAGATAGGTCAAAGTTGCTTTTTCCATACAGATACCCAAATGTTCCTGGACAATTTTTTGAAAAGACTATTATTTTTCCACTATATTTTCTTTGTGCCATTATCAAAATCAATTGTTCTACTTCTTTATTTACCCTGTTCCATTGATTTACTCATCTATTTCTACTGTTTTTTTTATTGCAGCTTTACAACATCATTAAATTATAGAGCCTTTCTACTTTGTTGTTTATCAAAGTTGTTTTGGCAATACTAGATAATTTGAATTGAAGAATTATAAATTTAAGAATTAGCATGTCATTTTTCACAAGAAAAAATCCCACTAAGACTTCTTTGAGATTGTGTGGAACCTAAATATCTTTGTGAAAAGAACAGGCTTTTTATTGAGTCTTGACAGGTGTGGTGTATACTTGTAATCACAGCTACTCAGGAGGTTGAGGTAGAGCTAACTTAAGCATGGGAATTTAAGTTCTTTGTATGCAAGATTCCAATCTGGAGAAAGGAAAATAAAAGAATGTCAAGTATCACAACCTATTAAAGTGATATATCCCTCCATATATACTTAGGGTATTTTTATTTCTTTCACCAATGTCTGGTAGTTATCAATCCATACAAGTTTTGCATGTGTATTGTCTTACTTTCCTCTAAGTATTATATATTTTTTATATGATTATAAGTGAGATGGTTTTTACATTTCAATTTCTGATTACTTTTATTATATACAAATATATACAGACAGCTGATTTTGTATGTTGATCTTATACTTGCAACCCTGCTAAGCTCATTTATTAGCAAAAACGTAGCTTTTTTGTCAATTCCATTGGCTATTCTACCTAAATGAAAAAAATCACCTGTAAAATGCCCTATTTCCAGTCTGGATACCTTTCATTTCTTTCCTGTCTTATTAATCTGGCTAAAATTTCCAATACAACATTAAAAAGAAGTGTTGAGAGTGGTCATAACTGTCCTTTATTTGAACTTTGAGAGAAGAATTTAGACTTTCAACATTATATATGATGTCACCTGTAAGTTTTGAGTCAACACCTCTTATCAGTTGTAGAACTTCCTCTTTTATTCCTAATTTACCATTTTTATCACAAATGGTTATTGAATCAAATTCTTTCCTGGTATGCTTTAAAATGGTCATGCAATTTTACTTTTTAAGTGTGATAATATAGTGAAAAGTGGTGAATGATTTTCAAACATTAAATTTGAATTTCTCATATAAACCATGCATGATAATAATGTTTATTCTTTCAATATATTGTTGAATCAAATTCACTAAAAACGTTTTAGAATATTTTTCTTATGAGGAATATTGTCAGTAGCTTTCTTTTCTGCTAGCTTTCTTTTCTTTTCTTTTCTTTTCTTTTCTTTGCCTGGTTTTGTATCAGGGTAATACTGACCTTAATAAATGAGTTGGAAAATACTCTCTCATTCTATTTTTGAGAAGGAATTTGTAAAGTTGATACTACTCTCCCCTTAAATGTTCAGAATTTACTAATGAAGTCTTCTGGACCTGGATTTTTCACTTTACAAAGATTTTCAACTAAAATTTAATATTTTAATGTATACACAGGACCATACAACTTATCTGTTTCCTCTTCAATGATCTTTAAAATTTTTCATCTTTCAGCTGCACAGGCACACAAGCAACAGCCAGAGGTTTTCCCCGATACCATCAGTAAGTGCACAAGGCCCTAGCCAGAAGCTTGCTCACACAACAGGAACTGGGGTACACAGCCCCCAGCCAAAGGCCCTACCACACAACAGCTACATAGAGGCCCTAGCCATAGGCACACCTAGATACCATTCCAAGTTTCCACAGGCCCCAGCCAGAAGCCCACCCAGACAACAGGTCAGGGATCCAGAAGGCCACCTTTCTGAACCCAGGAATTAGTGTACTGGTGAGCAGCACAGAAAAGGCTGCTCAGTGGCTTGCTGAGAATTGAAGACCACCGAGTGAGCAAAAAGTTGCATCAAGAAAGGCACAGCAGGCTGTATCTGTTGAAATGAGAAGTCTCCAAACCAGACTTCCAGATCACCTAAGGCAACCCCAAAGGGAAACGAGATGAAACAATCTGATACTCAACAACCTGGACTCCCTGAACTAACAACAAAAGAGGACCTGGAAAAAATGATATCAGAAATAATTTCTCACATAACAGCAGACATTGTGCCCATAGTGCAACAAATGATTAATAAATATAGATTGGACACAGATTTTTTAAAAAATAGATGAGCTAAGGAACATGATGGAATCCCAACGTAGGAAGCAAATGGAATCCATAAAACAGATGCAAACAGATTTCCAGATTAAAAACTCCACTGAAAGTTTATGCAGCAGAATGAACCAATGTGAGGACAGAATTTCAGATATAGAAGATAAGATTGCAATTAGTGACCAGGGAGAAAAAAATTGCTTTAAAATAGTAAGGGACCATGAGAAATCAATCCAGTAGCTGCTAAACGATGCAAAGAAGAATAACATAAGACTGCTCAGAGTCAAGGAAGAAATAGGAGGGAGTGCAGACAACATAAAAAAAAAAAAATGTTCACAGAAGTGATAGTAGAAAACTTCCCAAGCAAGGAAAAAGAACTTGACATACAGATAAGTGAGGCATATAGGGCTCCAAATAGCCTTGATCAAAAAAACTACACATAGGCATATAATAGTTAAGATTCCAGAATCCTAACAGAACAAAATTCTACAAGCAGTTAGAGAAAAGAAACAAATCACATACAAAGGAAAGCCCATCAGAATCACAGCAGACTTCAGAACACAAACAGAAGAACAAAATTCTACAAGCAGTTAGAGAAAAGAAACAAATCACATACAAAGGAAAGCCCATCAGAATCACAGCAGACTTCAGAACACAAACCCTCAAGGCAAGAAGAGCTTGGAGTGACATACTTCAAGCCCTAAAAGAAAACAGCCTCCAACCCAGATTGATGTACCCGGCAAAACTATCTTTCAAAATTGATGGAGAAATAAAATACTTTCTTGACAAACAGCACCTTAGGAATTT